CGCAGGGGGCCTCTGGGCCCTGACTGCCTCCATATGTTCACTGAATACATATGTTTTTGCTGCTGCTGCTGCTGCTGCTCACAGCTTTTGTCTATGAGACAAAATGGTTCATAACACGACTCAACATTTGCCTGATGATTATTATTTTTACACTCCATAAAACATGATGATATTTTTTTAAACATCTTATTATTACATCAGTCAATAATTAACCAATGAGCCAGTATGTTAATATAGATCCTATTTGTTAAAGTGCTCTGATAGATACACATGATATGACAAGGTTTGACACCAGGTCTTCTGCAAAACCAAATTGGAAATTAAGAATGAAAAAACAAACACACGACAGCATAGGTCAATGTACTAAAAATGTCAGCAGAAATAAAACTTGTAACTTTATATTTCATATCCTCGTGAGCCTCCAACCAGCTTACTGCACCCCCACTGCTCTAACCACCACGGGGGCCTGGGCCAACAGCTGCTCAGCCCTCTTTCTCTGGAGCTCCCTACCTCCAGACATCTGTAACATTGACTCACTTCCCATTTTCAGCAGGTTTTGGCTGGATGGTTCTGGAATCTTTGTTTTATCTGTGTAGTATTTGTTGTTTTGCACTATACCTCTACGTCTGTGTTGTGAAATAAGTAAGTCAAATAAATTAAAATAAATGATTATTGTTATTTATGAAGTTTGAATAATAATAATAATAATAATAATAATAATAATAATAATAATACAGTCCCAAACATTTAAATGAGTTGGTCTTGAATGCAGATATTAGAGTGATGTGGATCAACATAAAGCCAGAGGCTAAATAACTATTAGACACTGACATCACTGACTGTATTGTATCAATGCAGTCAGTCACAGGTCAATAACAGTGTTATGCTGATGTTTCTTCCTTGAAGTGAAACTTCACAGCAGCAGGAAGCTGTTAATTTTGTGATAGACCAAGAAAAAGAACCAATTAACAGCTCTGTAGAAACTGTGATGTTCAGAGCAGCAGCAGCAGCAGCAGCACCTCCACCACCTCCACCACCATCTGCACCTGTCGGAGCATCAACATGAATAAAAGATGTTTCTCCCAGCAGACAGAGCTGGGATGGTTAATTTAGCACCTTATTAACAGAACAAGACACCACCCCTTCATTTCCCTCCTTTTTCTCCTCCTCTTACCACTTCTTCTCTCTAAGGAGGTCTGCTACAAATCTAATCAAAGACAATCTAATCAGCTGAAATGACCCACTTCTCTTTTCCCACACCGTGTTGATCTAGATCTGCTGCTCTGACTCTCACCGCTGTGTGAGCCAGTCTTTCTGAGAAACTCCGAGCAGGGAATGGTCAGCAGGCCTGGGTCACCTGGTTCTCCAGCATCATCTCCAACCTACTCCAGCTGTTCCTCCCTCAGCGAAGATCTCTGAATCTTCAACTTTGAGCAGCTCAGCTCAGCTCAGCGTCCTACTGGATTTGACTGCAACCAGGGTTTTTAAATAAAGCCAACTGTAGGCCACCAGTGACCCACATCTGTTATCCATATATCCAGAATGTGGGCTACATCTCAGACAAGTCTACTTGTTGACCAATAATCTAATTATAAATCAAATTACAAATAAAATGTGTCATGTGACCCTAATGTTCCCTAAAGTCTGGGTCAGGACCCACATTTTGGTCTCAGAAGAATTTTGGTGTCTGCCCAACAATGTTGATATTTTTCCCTAAAAAAAAGCCTAAAAATGTCTCCAGCCACTGGTCACAATAGTTTTTGACTGTAAAATGTTGGGAAACACTGATGTAAGAAGTCAAAATTAGAACTGTCTGACAGGAAGAGTGAGTGTGTTTGTGTGTGTGTGTGTGTTTGTGTGTGTGTGTGTGTGCTGAAACACTTGGCAGAAGCTGTTGTTTCAGTATAAGGATGTAAACAGATTCAAGTTTGAGCAGAACAAAAAAAAAAAAAAACAGAGAGAGAAGTGGAGCCAGAGCTGAGAGCAGCCCTGACCGTAAAAGTCCAAACCGTGGTGTGTGGTGTTCCCCACAACACGGTCACAGAAGAATTTAAGAGCAAACCACTGCTGGAGTCAGGGACAGAGAGAAGACGGTGGAGTCTGAGAAAGAAGAAAAGGAAAAAGCTATTTTGACTGAAGGTCTGGTGAAAAGACACCACAGTAACAAACACAGGTGATGCTGTGACTGTTGCTCTCTGACTGTACACTAGGTCTCTGCACCTGGAGGGTTTTTTAAACTGAAAGTCCCTGTGGCTGTAGGTCTGTGCGACTGTAAAGTAGGGTTGTAGGTCTCTGACTGTAGGTCCC